CCCCCCCCCACCCCTTTGCTCACTTCCTAAGCAGGGAGCACTGCCAGTCAGGGGGTGCACCAGTGCTCTCTGGGGGGGTGCACGTGCCCTCCCTTGCAACCTCTAGGTGTCGCCACTGCCCTTGGATGAAGATCATTGTGAATTGTTTATAAATCAAGTTTAGCAAAGGGGCATTTGGCTTTTGCAAGGTTCTTTTATAAAGGGAATATCTTTCCAGCTGTCTGTTAATTATGAGTGTAAAACATTATTGCCTGAGCTTTACTTTGGGTGAATTCATGACCTCTGTTCTGTACTGCTTGGCCATATTGAGAAAAGCAATTACTTATAGTCCCCTTAGAACTGCCTTTCCACTGTTATTTCTATCATCTCTTAACCAGATGCTAATTACTAGGCATCACTATGATTAGGGCTGATTATTCTTATCCTGTCATTTCATGATGATTCCGGTATAATCTACCCTTCTGCTTTCAACAGCATTTCTATTCTACCATGCCACTACTTCTCTGTGAAGAATTGATCATGTCGGGGATGAGAATTGGTTATCTTCCTGAATTGTTCCAATTTAAAATCTCAAGTTACTTTGGACCTTTGTCTCGGTCCATTCCAAGCTATGGCTATCTTTGCCTCCTTGCTGTTTTTTCCCTCCTCTTTTCTTCCTACTTCCCCTTTAATACAACTAAACTCAAACTTTGTGATGTTCCCATATTACTGTTTGAAAGAAGCTTAGGCATATGCCAATACAGTGTTGTCCTACTTTATAATTATCCAAAGAAAGTAGGAAAGGAACATAAATTGCTGCTAAGAAAATATTTTAAATTCCTCTTATTTAGAAGGAAAGGACATACAAAAACATCCTTGTGCAGATATAAATAATGGAAAATACCACGCTGAATGTCAGAACACTCAACGTATCTGAAAATAGCCATCTCTAAAGGAAACTTTTGGAATCTAGAACACTGGTAACCAAAACCTTCAGAAATAATATCAATTTGGGTTTAATAATAACTTCTTTTGTCATGGAATACATTTGCCCTCAGTTCTCCAAATCTTTTTTCAATCAGTTCCTAGGTCCATACTTCTTTTTTCTACTTTCTTCCTAATACATTAACATTGTACATCTTTTGCAAATTAAAAATCCAATTGAATAATGCATAAACTTTCTTCAAGCATATTTTAAATAAAACGAATTTAAATTATTATAAATGTAACAGCCACACATACTTGTGCTGCATATGGGAGGTTATGTGCCTTTGATGGTTGTACATTGTGTGGGTTTTTTTCTGTATTTACTTTTTTTTTTCCTTCTTTCCCTTTTCTCCTCTGGCTTTTTGCTTTAAGGAGAAAACATAGGGTTTGGCCATGTGAGCAAGATGGCTCCTGTTGTTCTGGCTATCTGCTCAGCAGTGAAAAGCTGAGGCTTTGGATCTGGGTGAGATATGTAAAATACTCTGATCTGATGGGCCAGGGGGAGCAAAGGCTCCTCTAGACAGATTGAGTGAGAGAAAGGCTGGAGCATGGTACTCCCTGATTGGACAAGGCTTAGGTGACATCACTCCTGGCATATAAGAACAACTAATCTAAGTCTCTCTCTCTTTCTCCTGGGACTGCTAAGAGCTGCAAAGCTGAACTGGGAGACAAAGAAAGTGCTCCCCATGGGTGGTGGAGAGAGGTCCCCCCGCCTCTTCACTGGAGAGGTGAGTTAAAGCTATGTGAAGGGAAAGCCTCAGGTAGAAGGAGAGAAAGTCAGTCTCAGAGTTTGAGACCCCTATTCCTGCCTTCCTTCCCTTGTATGTTTGGCTGGCAGATTTGGGCCAGGATGAGACCTGGCACTTTTTGTTGTTGATTCAGGCCTCAGTAGGCACATCTACACGTCGATCTGTGGTGACGTAATGACACACTACCTTGCCATATGGCATGCTACAGCCATGTAGGGATCACTTGTGCCTACAATGCCGTAGTGGTATGTTCCCTGAGTATAGTATGGTGACATAGCAGTGAAATTTACCTGTGCACCACATGCACGGTGCACTACCCGCCCATATAGCACCATACTTTAGTACTTCCAAACGCTAAGCACATAGCAATGTCACCATACAGTGATGTGTAGACACAACCAGTGTGGTATAGGCCTTGCTAATTTTTGCTGCCCAGTCCAGGCCCAGTGCAGATAGGCCTGACCCCCTCTCCAAATTCTTTTGCAGCTTTCTGTCTCAGCAGAGCTGGGATTAGGAAGAGGAATTTTGGGATGCAGTATGCTGATGAAAGTCACAGTTAACCCCTCAAAGCCACCATGCAGAAGTGGACGTTGGCACTCTACAACTTCTGCAAGAGCAACATGTCCCCTTGCAACACAGAAGTACCTATACTTTCGAGCAGCTTCCTGCAATGCAGCAAACCCAAGGAGCAGCTCAGAGGACTCTCCAGTGTGGGCTGCCCTCTGCAGCCCATTGTTGAAGGGCAGGTATAGGGGTGCAAGACCCTGAAACTACCCTTTAGGGAACCCCTCCCAAGTGCCAGACTGCCTGGACATGGATAAAGCCTCCCCAAGAGGGTGCAACCTTTAGACTTTGCCTCGTAGTTAATAGTATTTTCAATTGTATTTAGTGTTTTCCTGTGTTTTCCTTGCCTTTATTCTCTGTAATAAATATCTTCTTTTGTGTTTATGCTGCTTGCGACGATGGGTTTTTGTTTATGTAGGACACATCAGCAAATTTAGTGTTCCCAGATCTCAGGGTAGGGGCTCAAGCCCCTGATATAACTCATCGAGTACACAGGAATGTGAACCCAGCCCTTCTCACTGCCAACCTGTGCTTGGCAGAAGGGCTACAAAAAAATTATGATCACTTTACAACACTTGCAAAAATATTTTTAAATAAATAGCCAACACACTTTTACTTAAGAATTCTTTTCATTCAGATCAAAAAAATCATGTAGTAAACCTGAAAATCAAAAATACCACAATTCAAAATTCAATACCTACAGGACTTTCTGTGATCTCTAATGGGAACATAGGAGAAATATATTGCATTACCATTCTGACAATAAATTCATTGCTGAGCAATCATACATTATTATTTTACAGCTCACAATCACTTTCATTGCTTTACGAAACCAAGCATAAAAGAAAGAGTAAATCAAAGGATTAATGGCAGAGTTTGAATAAGCAAGCCAACTTACAATGTCAACAACAAAAGGTGGAGTTGCATAGTCAAGGAAAGTATCAGTTATTACACACATACAATAAGGTGCCCAGAATACCAAGAAAGCAACCACAGCTATACCTAGTGTTTTAGCAGCCTTTCTCTCTCTTTTTCCCACTCTGTCACTGTAATTATCTGAGGACTGCGTTTTGTTGCTCATGCTCTCTATCATTCGAGCTTGCTGTTTAGCCACTTGGAAGATTTTGCTGTAAAGGACTATCATTGTCAGAAAAGGTATGAAATAAAGGAGAGAGGATATGAACACCCAGGTCTTATTGAAAGTAATTTGACATTTCCCTGCACAGGGGAGAGCATTCTTTGATTCTTCTACCCCTTCATCATTAGCCCCAGTGTAGAAGACTGAAAAACTGTACAGTATGGAGAGTGCCCAGGCCACAGCTATGAACAGTCCAGACACTGGCACTGTGAACCTGAGAGGATAAATCAGAGGGTCATTGACAGCAACAAACCGATCAACTGAGATGAAACACAAGTTAAATATTGATGCATAACAAAACAATGCAACTAAGCAACTGTGAAATCTACAGAAGGTTTCCCCAAAGAACCAGCAGGTTTCAATGGATCTGACAGCGCTGAAAGGCAGTACACTCAGACCTAAGCTAAAATCAGCATAGGCCAAAGATGCAATCAAAAAGTTTGTAGGAGTGTAAAGCTGTTTGAAGTAAGTAATTGAAATAATTACCATCAGGTTTCCTCCTACGGTAAGAATTGTGAGAAAGCCAAGAACAAAGTACAAAACTACTCGGAGTGCAGGAGATCGTGTTATTTTGTAACACGATCCATTTATGTCCTCAAAACAGTACTGCAGATCTTCCTTTTCAGGAAAAGCGGAGTCCATCATTTTCCTCAAGCTCTTAGTTTTGAATTCTTGAACAGTCTTCTGTCTAGGAAAAAAAGAGTGCGTGCTCCTGTTCCCAGCTCCTCCTGAGAAAGAAAATTACAACGTTAATAGAATATCTTCCTAGTATCATTTTGAACACAGAAACAAAATGTAGCAGAAACTTAAAGGAGTTCTAATAGGTAAGATCTTTATCTCAGCAGCTTTTACAAGCTGAACACACATGACAAACAAAGTAACTAGAAAAAAGAAATAACTCAGTTTATTGAGATACCATTTTAGAATTCTTTCTTACTTATTTTGAATTTCCTAATGCATCTCCTTCTCAGATACACCACATATCAGTGTAAATGGAGATGTGAAGAGAACACTGGAGGAGGCATGCATTTTATACTACTGTTTCCTCCCCTGAGTTTTTTGGGCAGTGATAAAGACAAAGCATATTCTCTCTCCTCCAATAGCACAAACTGTGAATCAGAAATAGATGTCATAAATTCTCCAGATAAAATGCCCACTGCCACCTGGTGAAAGCTGAAAAAAAGTCTATCACAACTCAGTGGAAACATTAGAGTGTTATTTCCTGGAAAATAACTCTACTATCATAGAGGCCAGGTTCTTATTAGACTAACTACATAGTAAGGATAGACCTGCTCATGCAAGGGGCTGGACCCAATGATCCGTCAGGGTCCCTTGCAGCCCTATGATTCTATGACCTAGAAAAGATTTTTAATGCAATTAATTCTTCTTCAGGTCACTGGATTGTCACAGCTACAACAGCACTTCAACACTGTGTACTGCCACATGAGCCCTAAAAGCATATGTCTTTTCCAGGAACAAGTCTGAGAGCTGTTTTCCATGCTCTTTTACAACAGTTGTCAGCCACAGAAAACTGTGGTGTAATCTAATCAATGTGGTGTAGTTACCATTGGGCACAGAGATTTTCAAACACGATCAGAGTCGTTTTGTCAGAACCTGTTAACCCTTGCCTTTCTCTGTTTTTTAATGTCACTCACAAGCAGGTTAGTTTCTCTGCTGTACTCCCATATTCCTAAGAAACATAGAAATTCCTGAGAAAGACTGAAAGGCACCAAGTCCTGTCCATTGATGTCAATGACAACTATGTCACATAAGCCTTTTCATAATCCAATAATTTCCTTCTTAAAAGTTGCTAAATTTCTTTACTGGGAAGCTGTTTTGTAACTGAACTCCTTGCTGAATAGATAGTGCCTTCTTCATTTCAGTGTAAATTCCTTCATGGCAAGGGTATTTATGGAGAGCAGCCATAGTGTTTCTCAGCCTTCATTTTTCTGGGCTGAATAAGACAGGGTTTTTTTAATAATTTCTTCTAGGATAGTCCTTTGATAATCAGACTGGCCTTTTTCTGTACCTGATCTTACTTGAATTCAAGTATCTAGCACATGACAGACCTGAATTTGTATACAGTATTTCAGGTATTGCCTTGAACAATGATAACAACACATCCTTACTCCTACTGGAAACCACTTCCTTGACACAGTTTAGAATCATGTTCATCTTTTCCATGGCCGCAGCATATTGAAGGCTTGCCCTCCTTGTGAGCGGGTCTGAACTTTCAACCTAGCCCCGCGTTGATGCTGGCATCTGACTGACCTTCATCAGTTTCTCTTGCTTGCCCACCACACCATGATGGTTTGATTCTCTTTGGGGATGTTGGATGACTCTCCAGCAAAGGGCCATCTGGCAAGGTCACTGTTCTTCTGCAGTGCTCCACCTTCCCTATGCTCTGCTCCTTTCCTGTGACACCTGCAATAGAAAATTTCCACTGGTCTAGAATGGGCATGCATATCAGGGTCTATTCTCTGAACTCCTCTGGATTCTGAGGTCTGCTGCTCACTGGTACTTATTTCTTCTCTTGTTGAATGCCTTCCCAACTGAAACTTAGAAACTCGTTTAACTAGTCCTTGGACCAACTTATTTCTTATTCTCCCAGCCTTCCCTCCACTTTACTTCAGGCTTTCCAAACATAACTCTTCCTCCAGTCCTACTTGTGCTTACTGGTCAAATCTTTCCTTTGACTCCTCCTACCTCATCTTGGCTCAGCTTGGTAAAAAGAAGGTTCTGGGTAATGTGGGGCCTCTGGAGGACACTCTTGGAAATCTGATGGTCTAACCAGATGACAAAACTAACATATTTAACAATTTCTTTGCCTCCATTTTTCTGAGCAGGGACCAGGTCGTCCCCCCCCACCGGGATCCCCGATGGTCCCAAGTGAGGCACAAATCATCAGGTCCTAATGATCTTCACTCCAGAGTGTTCAAGGAATTAGCAGAGGTCATTGCGGGACCCCTGGCACAGCTTTATGAGCACTCATGATGCTCTGGCAAGGTGCCAGAGGACTGGAAAAGAGCCACATGTGGTCCCCGTTTTCAAAAAAGGGAGGAAGGAGGACCCAGGAAATTATAGGTCTGTTAGTCTTACCTCGGTCCTGAGGAAGGTCTTTGAGAAAATTATCCAGGTGCACATCTGCGAGGGACAAGCAGGGGAGTATAAGCTTAGGGGCAACCAACATGGGTTCATTAGAGGCAGGTCCTGTCAGACCAACCTGGTGGCCTTCTTTGACCAGGTCACAAAATCCTTGGACGCAGGTGACGCAGTGGATGTAGTCTTTCTGGACTTTAGGAAGGCTTTCAACACTGTCTCTCACCCCATTCTAGTTAAAAAATCAGGAGATTGTGGTGTCGATGCCTACAGTCAGGTGGGTCGCCAACTGGCTGGAGGGCCGCACCCAGAGAGTGTTGGTGGATGGGTCCTTTTTGACCTGGAGGGATGTGGGCAGTGGGGTCCCCCAAGGCTCAGTGTTCGGGTCCGCACTGTTCAACATCTTCATCAGCAACTTGGACGAGGGGTTGAAAAGCACCTTGTTCAAAATTGCAGATGACACCAAGATGTGGGGAGAAGTGGGCATGCTAGAAGGGAGGGACAAGCTGCAATTGGATCTGGACAGGTTACAAGGGTGGGTGGATGAGAGTAAGATGTGATTCATTACTGACAAGTGCAGGGTACTGCACCTGGGGAGAAAGAACCAGCAGCATACCTACAGGCTGGGGAACTCCCTTCTCATCAGCACAGAGGCAGAAAAGGATCTTGGAGTCATTATAGACTGCAACATGAACATGGGCCACCAATGTGAGGACGCAGTCTGGAAGGCTAACCGCACCTTGTCATGCATCCACAGATGCATCACGAGCAGGTCCAAGGAGGTGATCCTCCCCCTCTATAAGACATTGGTCAGGCCGCAGTTGGAGTAGTGTGTCCAGTTCTGGGCGCCACACTTCAGGAGGCATGTAGATGACACTGAGAGGGTCCAGAGGAGGGCCACTCACATGATCAGGGGGCATCAGGGCAGGCCCTACAAGGAGAGGCTACGGGACCTGACCCTGTTAGCCTCCACAAGAGAAGGCTGAGAGGGGATCTGGTGGCTGTCTATAAACTGGCCAAGGGGGACCAGCAGGCAATGGAACAGTCCCTGTTCCCCTGAGCACTACAAGGAGTAACAAGGAATAATGGCCATAAGTTGACTGAGAGTAGATTCAGGCTAGATATCAGGAGGCACTACTTCACAGTCAGGGCCGCTAGGAGCTGGAACCAACTTCCAAGGGACGTGGTGCTTGCTCCTACCCTGGGGGTCTTCAAAGGAGGCTAGATAGACACCTTGCCAGGGTTGTTTGACCCCAGTACTCTTTCCTGCCATGGCAGGGGGGCGGACTTGTTGATCTGCTCAGGTCCTTTCCGCCCCTACCAACTATGAAACTAACCCCTACCACTTTCATGGGGCTTCATTCTTCCCTTATTCTACTGCTGACTGTCCCAGGCAGGTACAAGCAGAAGAAAAGCTGGCAGTGGCAGTGGCTCCAGCATTGCAACATCCTTTAGCCATTTCTTTGGGTCTCTTTAAATCTGCCTCCTTTCTATTCTTGCCTCTGACTTCAAGCAAACCTTCACTAGCAAATCCCCCTGCAAGCTGACTTGTTCACTGCTCCTTGGTCCTCAAAGGTTCCCTTTTCCCTCTTAACCTGCTTCCTCTCACCAAGCTTACAGTGAAGGGAGGCAATAGAGAAAATTTTCCAGGCAAACTCCCTAGCAAGTTCTCCCTCGCTCTAGACTCTAGTTAAACAAAGGACTTAAGTATTGGTCTAACTGCTGATCTTTAACTACTTATGCTAAATATATGTAGGTTAGTTATTCTTATTTCAGGAAAGAGTTTACCTTAAAAGCCCCCTTCAAAAAGAGTGTGACTGCAAACTGACCTGCTAACTGACTTGTGACCTGCTTGCAAACCACCCTGTTTGCTTCCCCTGGTCACCTGCTCCCTGGTCCCACAGGGAGTTTCCTTTTATCCCCTCCTAGGCCTGGACTGTTAGGGCTTTTGTCAGACATAGGCAGCAATCACCCAGCTAGCAGCACTTCAAACTGCTCCGAGCACAAGCCCAAACATACTGCCCACCAAACAAACACTCATCAAGCAACATCTCTGCCTTCCTGAAGCAGAATCTGGGTTTTTAAGACCTGGGTAGGCATAGTTTTTAAAGCCCAGATAGACAAAGCCTTGGTTGGGATGATCTAGTACGGTAATGGTCCTGCTTTGAGCAGGGGGTTGGACAAGGTGACCTCCTGAGGTCCCTTCCATCCCTCATTTTCTATGATTCTTGGATTTGTGGAATGCAGATGAATCTGAGGAGGAACTGTGTGTAAGCCAAGCTATCTCACATACAAACATGTAAGGGCCAGATTTAATAGGCGGGACAGAACATTCAGGCCAGATGCAGACATTCAAAAAGCCTGAGGTGGAATCAATGTAAGTTATGTGGTTTTCTGTAAGCAGCATAGTTTAGATTGGTAGCAAACAGAACACACTTTCACCATTCGCTCTGTGGTGGCAGCGTGGGGGGTAAACCTTAGACCGAGTTGTACCTGGCCCCCCTGCTTCTCCTTACCATAGAAATAGTGTTTGCATGTGTGTACATGTGTGTGTTCGACTA